GATAAATTTTTTTTTCATTTATTTATATTTATTTTTTAAATATAAATGAAAAATTTATCTTTATTTTTTAAGTATAAATGATTCATTTATATTTATTTTCCAAAGTAACACTAAATTAACACCCCTAATTCTACCTACTAGCACATTTTTCTCTTACTCGTTCCTTTTTCTCGTCAAGGTCCTCAACATCCAAAGATGGGCAAAACGCTCTACTTGAATGTGGAAAGTTTTCGTCGCTCTATCGATGTCTCTGACTTGATCTATCGCGAATGTTCCGGTCATAGTCTGATCGACGATATAGGACTATTCGGTTCAGCGGACGGACCCAATCCAATGGCTGTCTATGAAATTGCATACACACTACCTGCACTCGTCTTTTTGCAGATCGGCCTGGTCGATATGTATCGTGAGTTGGGTGTTTCGTGTGCGGCAGTATTCGGACACTCTTTCGGTGAAATGGCAGCCGGCTATGCTGCGAATATCTGCACGAGAAAGCAATGCATTCAAACGGCGTATCATCGTGCTCGTATCTTACGGCAAGTCGATGGGCGGGGTGCGATGATGGCAGTCAGCTGTTCTAGTGAGCATATCCAACCTCTATTAGACAACCATGAGAAAATGTGGATTGCAGCTTACAATGGACCCAATTCGTTGACATTGGGTGGTGTCCATGAATCCATTACGAGCATCTCAAATGAGTTAACTAAACAAAATGTATTTAACCGAATCTTGAAGATCAACAGTGCCTATCATACGCCACTGATGACTTCTGTTCGTGCAGAAGCTATATCGATATTCAAGCAAACCCTCGCTGGATATGCAGTACCTTCGATCCCGTACTTCAGCACAGTTACTGGACAATGGAAAGATGCCGGTTTTGATGAAAACTACACTTTTGATGGAATCGAAGGTAGGGACCAGAACTCTGTATGGACTGGACTGAGTCCATAGTCCAGTCCAGTCCATGTAGACTGGACTGGACTCAGATTTTTTGGATTTTATGGACTCCGAATGGACTGGACTACATTTTTTTAGTCCATGGACTGGATTGGACTCAAAAATTTGAGTCCATACGGAGCTCTGGTAGGGACGAACGATGTTCCGGAGCGATTCACTATTTTTGCTATTTTTAGGTCCCGTTCTATTCGATGTCGCCGTCCAACAATGCTTAGAACGATTTGGTGCCGACACCACTGTCTTCCTCGAGATGTCCGCCCATCCTGTTCTGAGTTCATATTTGACCGAGAATGGTTCCAAGTATAACCTATGCACACTGCATCGCCAGCAATCAGAGATCGAAACAACATTGAAAACTCTTGCTAACCTACGTATTTATGGTTTCTCACCTGCCAAAGCGAATATTTCGAAAGTCTATCCCGCGATGACGGCATCGCCATCACGTCTTCCGCATTATTCACCGTATCCATTTCAACGTCAGTATTGTGTGAAAGAAGATCCAGCGCATCGCCTTCAACGGATGGTGCCTATCTGGCACAGTTTAGCCGGTCGGCCATTCGCTCATCCGTACACAACTTTTCAAACTAAGCTTTCTTTGAAGTCACACGTCTGGATCCCAGATCACTGTGTCCAGGGACCAGCCGTCTTTCCGGCAGCTGCCTATATCGAGCTTTGCATGGAAGTATTCAACTGTATGTGTTTAACGAGTATTTATATTGAAAAGGCATTGATTCTACCAACGGATCCGAACATCTACCGAACAGCCAGAGTTGTCCTTGATGACAGTAGCCAATCTCATATATCGATGTATTCCAAATTGAACGAATATGATTCGGGAAATTGGACGAAACACATGACAGCTTCCAAAGGAGACTCGTCACCCTCTTCTACTGCCTCTATGCCAGAATGGTCGAAGGATTTGAAATCACGTTGTTCGTTGGCAACAATCGAACAAAAGGATGTCTACGGACGATTCTCCAGCGTCGGCCTAGATTACGGACCTTATTTTCAATGTATTCAAACGCTTCATCAGGGTGATAATGAAGCGTATGCGCATTTGAATATCGCTCATCTGCCGAAGCCGTTGGTTAACTCGAAACAATCACGGTTCAGTGTTCATCCTGCAATATTAGATTGTGCATTTCAAGTTCTTCTCGGAACTCAGCGTTATTTCTATACAGCGTACGTCCCTACGTTCATTGAGCGCATTGAATGGCGAATTGAGACAAGTGAATTGCCAAGAGATTTATACGTGTACGCTAGAACGAAGGACACGGGCTCCAAACAAGTCTTGACCGGTGACATTTTCGTTGTCGATGAGCAGCAAGATCGTTTGGTCGGTATGATCATTGGTTTTGAGGCTACTGCGTTAGGACAATCGAATCAGCCGCAACCACTTTATTCTCTACGTTACCAGAATATTGAAACACCCATGACGACAACAACTACATCAGAATTAAACATCGTCGAAATACCGACAATGGTTAAAGAACAGGAAACTCTCTTCGATGATGCATGTTCGGCATACATTGCTGCCTTTCTTGCCTCGAACCCATTCGATACGGAAACCGTGGAGAAATGGCCCATCCATCGTCAACGCTATTGGCAATGGTTACACTCGACGATAGAATCGAAAACCATCGTGCCAAATGCAATTGAATTAATTGATCAAGAGCAATGCAAAGCTCTCCATTTCGAAGCACAAGCAATCCATCGTGTCGGAAAGAACCTATCTCTTCTGCTTAGTGATAACTTCGCCGTGCAGAATGTGTTCTTCGGAGAAAATGATTCGCTCATGGCTGATCTATATTCCAAGTCGATGACATTTGAACCGTACACGCTCATCCTCGCCCAAAGGCTCGTCGACCAATTCAAGCTGATTCAAGAGCAACACCCGAGTGAATCATCACGCGTCTTCTCAATTATAGAGCTAGGTGCCGGCACGGGTGCTCTCACTGCAGCGATTCTCGAGAAACTGTATCAGCAAACATCGATTATTCAGGAAAATCGGTTGATATATGTTTTTACTGATGTAAGTGGAAAGTTTCTGTCGGATGCTAAAAAGCGCTTCTCAACAATCTATCCCTGCATTCAATACCAACTGTGCAATCTCGACGCTGATTTGTCAACACAAAAATTGAATCTGTATTCATTCGATGTGGTTTGTGCTTTCGATGTCCTCCATGTGGCTCAAGATTTAAGATTGTGTTTGAATCGCGCTCAGCAACTATTGAAGCCCAACGGATACCTTCTGTGCATTGAATTAACTCGACCATGGACATGGATCGAATTCTTTTTCGGCTTGTTTGCTGGGTGGTGGCACTTCACGGACACTACAACACGATCAACATGTTTTCTGACGGTCAGCAAATGGCAGCAGCTATTGTCCGAATCAGGATTTCAGAGCGTGCAAATTGAAAACGAAGGACAAACCGAGTTCGCCCATTCATTGTTGAGTGCAAGACGTTCCGATTGGACCACGACTCGAACAGTTACTTCTCCAGTCACGATGGTTGACACGACAGAAGCGACTGATAGCGGCCTTGATTCACACATGGAGAAACTATTAGAACTAGCTCAATCTCTAAGGACAGTCACGGAACCCACAACCGTCTTTGTCCTTACTTTGACGACCACTCCACCCATGGGTGCAGCACTTACTGGGTTCACTCGAGTGTGGGCAAACGAAGCTACGCAGCACGCGATCTGTTCCATTGAGTTTGATGTGCTGGAATTGAAGGCAAAACATGTGTGGTTGGATCGTATTCAGACAATCGTCGCCAACACCTGGGAACGAGAATTTGTTGTTCGTCAGCAAAGCATTTTTGTGCCAAGACATATTCCTCGAAGTTTAAGAAATGCCCTGACTACGAAAACCAAGACGGATGATCATGAAAGTGAGTAGAGCTAACGTGAACTTTTCCGTAGCGTTTTCATGCGAAAGTCGATCAGCCCTCTGAATCCGCTCTTCTGCTCTATTTTTTAGGCGACGCCTCGTCGAATCAACAACAGCGACAATCGTTCCGTCTGGAAATCGATACCATCGGTCAATTACAAACTCTGAAATATCGTTCGTTTTCCTCCACTACGTCATTATCACCGGATGATGTTCAAGTAGAAGTGCACGCTTCCGCACTGAATTTCAAAGATCTCATGCTGGCACTGGGGATGTTACAAAACCCCATGGGTTTCGACAGCGAAACATTGAGGTATCAGTATGGCTCAGTGAATCTCGGTTTGGAGTTCAGCGGTGTTGTGACAGGCCTCGGTGCGACGGCTTTAGAAACATTTCAAATTGGTGACCAAGTGTTTGGCTTCGCTGACCATTGCTTCTCCTCTCAAGTCACCACGCATCGACATTTCGTGGTGAAAACACCGTCTCATCTGTCTCATACGGATGCTGTTTCACTTCCCATTGTATTTGCAACCGTTTATGCAGCATTGATGGCCAAAGCGCAGCTGAAGCGAGACGAAACCGTGCTCATCCATTCAGCAGCTGGCGGCGTTGGCCAGGCGGCCATCCAGTTGTCCCAATTCGTTGGTGCTCATGTTATCTGTACCGTCGGTTCTGATGAAAAGCGTGAGTTTTTAAAGAAAACGTATGGCTGTACACAGTTTGCCAACTCTCATTCCACCGCTGAATGGAAAGCAGATGTGCTGAAACTGACCGATGGTCGCGGTGTGGACATTGTCTTGAACTCCTTGAAAGGTGACGCCATCTCCGCCGGTTTGGAATGCCTGAGAACGGGAGGTCGTTTCGTTGAAATCGGCAAGGTTGATATTTTGAATCATTCCAAGTTGGACATGAATTTGTTACTACGTGATCTGACTTTTTTCAGTGTTCAAATCGACATTCTAATGCAAAGTCAAACAGAGAGGATCCAGCAGTACCTTCATGCTGTTAGGACCCTGGCGGCGGAGAAACATATTTCACCTATTGTCGATAGTATTTATGAATTGAAAGATACGGAAATGGCTTTTCGTTTCCTCATGTCTGGTCAACACAAGGGAAAATTAATTCTGAACATGCAGACCAATCCACCAAATGTGTACCCTTCCTCAAGTATCTACAGTCCAACCGTCTGCTACATTCTCAGTGGTGGCACGGGAGCATTGGGTTTGCAATTAGTTCAACATATGAGTACTCATGGAGCTAGACAGTTCATCTTGTTATCCCGTCAAGGGGCAGCCAGCTTACGCATGTCTGATGCTGCCACGTTGGGTCGTCTTGAACGGTTCGGTATCCGAATCTACGTGGGAAAAGCTGATGTCGCAAAACGAGAGGATATTGCTCGTGTTCTGCGCGAGGCTCATGAAAACATGTTTATCTCATTGGCCAAAGTCAGTATTCTGCATTTAGCAATGGTTCTCGACGATGCTCCGATCGGAAAACTTAATCTTCAACGCATTCAAAACGTGATGCAATGTAAAGTTCAGGGTGCCATTACTTTACTTCAATCCATTCCTGAAAATCAACTCGAACATGTCATATTCTTTTCAAGTGCTGCATCCACTTTCGGTAATCCGTCCCAAGCTAACTACAGTGCTGCAAATGCCTTTCTCGATGCGTACGCTGGTCAACTGTCAAGAACGTCAAAGAGAAAAGTCCGGGTGATCAATCTCGGTCTCGTCGAAGATGTCGGTATTCTGGCTGAAGACTGGAAATTGAAACAAATACTAACAGCGAAAGGTTTCGCTGGTGGTTTAACATCGTCGGGTGTGGCCCAAGTTGTCGATCATGCATTTCTCGTGGATGACGACGATGAGTACCAGATGCTCTATGGTAACTTTCAAATGGAGGATCTAGTACATTCGTATCCGATGTTGAAAACTCGCCTGGAACATCTAATAAATCATACGATATCGAACAGCAATGGTGGTGCAGGGGCCTCGTCGAATGGCACCGAAGTGACCGTACAGTCGGTTGCTGCATACATCTCTACCTTGTTAGCCACCTCCAATCTGGACGTTTCCGAATCATTGACAGTACAAGGGCTAGATTCACTGTTGGCTGTGGAGCTGAGTGCTGGTTTGACGAAGCAATTTGGAATAGTTCTCAGTCAGTTGGTACTGTTAGGCGGATTGTCCGTGAAACAAATCGTGGAATCCGTTACCTCATGAAAAAGGCAAAGTATCTTCTCTATTTTAAACACATATGATACACTCTCTCTCGTTATTCATTATTCCTGTTACTGTGTGAACAATCTTAGACAATTTTGCTTTCAAATAAAATGATCACCCTGAAAAGCGACATCGTATGCCAAAAAAGCCGTCACTTTTTCCACGATTCATCGCTGCTGACTGGAATTCCCTGCGAAATACTGTTGCATCTTGTCAAACTGGTACTGCTTTCAAACGAGCATTACGCGCTCATCTATCCATATAAGTGTGTTGTTTGTTTGTTGTTTTGTTATTGATTTTTTTTTTCTATACTCTCTTCTCGCGGTTCTTATCTTTTCTGCGTAGTGGCGCTGCATTTACAAGCCTTTGGTTTTTTTGTGCTTTCCTTTGTTACGAGATGTTTTCTTGGGTATATAATAAAATTTCAAGTTTCAAGTTCTCACAGTTTCAGAAAATTCAGTGATTATAATTTGTATCTCCGGCAGTGGTTTTGATGTGCCACACAGGGCTGCTCTTCTATGATAACACATATTCTAAACTGATGCCGACATTGACAGGTAACGAGAAGCAATGCGTAATGAAAAGTAGCTTGATGCTGAGCTTCAGAAGTTTTCTCGGTAACGTGAACAAGAAAGAACGATTTCTCTTCAGATGGACTCGACAACGACAAACGAGAATTCCAGTCCGATGGACTTCACCATTGAAGAAGAAACACTTTAATTCGGAAGAACGAAGCGGCGATTATCGTCTATTGGAAACAAATCAAAGCCTTCGAAACGAGTAACAAACTGTCCAAAGATCGGCCAAAGTAGCCTTGCTCTTCGTTCGAGCGTTGACTTGATCGTTTTTCACTAGATTTACATTCTACGATGGTCCTCCCTTCGCGACAGGTTTTCCTCATTACGGTCACATTCTTGCGGGCACAATCAAAGATACGGTCACTCTTTGGGTCTATCAAACCGGTCAGCACGTCGATCAACGATTCGATTGGGCTAAGTCGAACAACGATCGACGAAGAACATCACTGATTCTCTTCTTCCTCTTATTCTCTAATTCTTCGATTAGATTGTCACGGTTTACCAGTGGTACGAGCTCTCACTAGTCTTCAGCTCTGTTGCTCGATCGATCGATTCTCTTTAGGAATACGAAATCGATAAGAGCTTAGATATCAAGGGGCCGGAAGATGTGGCGAAGATGGGCATTGCCACGTATAACAACCATTGTCGACAGATTGTCATGCGCTATGCCAAAGAGTGGGAAGTAGGTGAAGAATATGAAATCTAGAAAGAGAGTTGTGTCTCATTCAAAGGACGTGGTCGATCGAATGGGTCGATGGATCTAACAAAGAATTCGTCTATCGAGGCTTCAAAGTCCGTCCTCTCTTCTTCCCCCGTGAGCGAGAATGCGAATTCTCTGTTCACTGCATGTGATGCCCTACTCGATGGGTTGTTGCACTCCGTTGTCGAACTTCGAAGCGGGACAGAGTTACAAAGATACCGACCATCCAGCTGTGTGGATCTCATTTCCCTTGGCCCTCGATCCCGAAATGAAACTCGTGGCCTGGACCACCACTCCTTGGTCATTACCATCGAATCTCGCTCCTTGCATCAATCCCAAATCGACCTACGTAAAGATTCTCGGTTCGTTCGTTTCTCCTTCGTTGCGAGAGATGTTCGATTTAGATAGCGTCCATCAGACGCCGTACTTCGGTGAAGACGATTATCGTATTTGTCTGGCCAACGGTGTGATCAACAAACACACGGGCCCATTGATCTGTCCGGTCGATGCGAGATGTCATTTCACGAGTGAAATGACGGACTTCGCCGGCGAAAACGTTAAATCAGCGGACGAGAAGATCATCAAACATCTGAAGAAATCCAGGCGGTTGGTTCAACGATCAGTCTTTCGTCACTAGTATCCGTTCTGCTGGCGAAGTGACACGTCGTTGATCTATCGAGCTGTTCCCTCGTGGTACATCGAAGTGGAAGGAATGGTCGAGCGACTGCTGAAGAACAACAGTCAGACCTATTGGGTTCCTCACTTCGTCAAGAAGAAACGATTCACCAATTGGCTTCCCGAGGCGCGCGATTGATCCATTTCTCGCAATCGTTACTGGGGCAACCCAAAGCCCCTGTGGGTCAGTGACGACGGCGAAGATGTGGTCTGCATTGGCTCGATCGAAGAATTGAAAGAACTCTCCGGAGTGACCGTCGACGATCTTCACCAAGAATTCGTCGATCCGATCACCATTTCCTCTCGGCTGGGCAAATGTCTTCTCCGTCGAATTCCCAAAGTCTTCGACTGTTGGTTCGAATCAGGTTTGATGCCCTGCGCTCAAGTTCATTTACAGAAAATCATAACTCTTGCACAGTCACTGGAAAAAACTTCCGCTTTTTTGTCATCACATCACTACCGTTTTACATCATTTATAGAGAAGCCATCGCGATCTATAAAATAATGCAATATTTGTTTTTATTCCTAGTCACTAGCGACGCACCCACTACTGGCTCACCACTTATATGTTTCGATTTCTTAATTAACGCTGGAAATTATATTGCTTGAAGATGAAAATAAAAATGAGTAGTGCTTAGGAGAAAGGATTTCCATCTAAAGTTAATAGCTAATCTAGTGGATTTTATGTGGTATTTTGATCTGTTTTTAACCGGTCATTTTCAAATTACTAACAATACGAAAACTAACTTCAAAAACAGGCACATTAGTACGTGAAAAAAAGAAAGAGTCTAGAAATATTTTTACTCATGAAAAAACAAAAATGTGAACACTCTTATTTCTCACACTGTTATATTGGGAAGTTGGTCCAAATGTAAACAGTATATAGGAACAAGGAAAACGACACAGCTTGAAACGCACGAGGATAAGAAACAACGTACGCTGGATAAGCGTAATTTCAACGTTTGCGCACCTTTATGACGCGATCATAAGGGAAGTTATTATATAAATATACCTTCATAATTCAGTAGATTGTGAAGGTATATTCATATAATAATTTCTCTCAGAATGATGAAATTGTATTACATATGTGGTTCATTTACCAACTATTGGACTCACATTTCTTGCATTTAAAAATACAATAGACTATTTGGAAAACCATGAGAGTAATGATGATCTCTTGAATCTTTAAGATCACCTGTATTGGGTAAATTAAAGCGTTATTTTACAAAAGACAGAGAGCAGGTTACCGTACTAAAAGTAAGTGACCTTGAAAGTATACAAAATTAAACTATGACCGATCAACTGCCCACTGGTGATAGTAGTGAGGCCGAAACCTATAAAATTCAGCATGGCAAAGCGTTGTTTGTGTATTAGCAGTACAGTTCATATATGGTCTATCCATTCGCTTGCTTTCTTAACTGAGTGATAAACCTAAGATAAACGTTAATAGGTAAGATTTCTTTATGTAGTGTAAACAGTTCGGTTTTCAGTGATTCGTACATTTGTTGTGAATTCAATTCGCACATTCTGTACAACTCAAATAGTTCTTGGCCATCCACTTTGCCCAATAATGGTTTCATTTCGCTCAGATTCGTTCCATCGATAAAACGCAAAACATCAGCGTATGACCATTGTTGAAAATGCGGAGTGTTTGCTGCCATAGGTAACGGAAGTTTGTGCTGATGATTTAGATGAGCGTCAGAATTTTGCATTTGAATTTGTTCTAAAAGTTTATCGCATGCTACTTGAAAACCCAGTTTGTGATAATCAACGTAAATTCGCGATCCAACAATAAAACTGACCCACCCATCAGGTCTATATTTTTCTCTCATTATTATCGGTATTAGAGGTTTATGTAATTTATGGGCATATTCAGCTTCTGATTGACAGCTAGGACTTATTTTATACGAATCAGACATACACAATAAAACACATTTCGACTTTTCAACCGCATTTGCCATGGCTTCGATTGTTGATCCATACATGTCATCTCGATCGAGCCAAACACGAAGTCGCTTATCGATCAAATATTTATGTATTCTGTAACATAATTCCTTCTCTTGATGAGAATAACTGAGCATAATGTGGTATTCTTCATTCGATGTCGTTTTTTCGGCTGCAGCTATCGAGACATCCGCTTTCTTCTCCAATTTTTAAATAATTCCAACAGCTGCTTCATACCGACGTGCATTGCTCGAGTTCGAAGATATGATCGCTTTTAGGCAAGAAATAAATTGATGATTGGACGCATCTCTTAGCTCGATAGCTGCTGAATCGAGAAAGGTCATCGACCAAATTATCTCGAGGGCTCGTTGTTGAATGACAAATACGTCGAATTTTGAGTCTGTTGCACATTTAATGAGAAGGGGTATGCCATCCTGCGTAACAATTTCCCGTTTGATTTGGTCATGTTGAACAAGTACTAGAAATGCATGGTTGTTACTATTTAACATAATAAAAATTGTAAAGAGAAAAATAGGCGAAAAAATAACTTCGCTCATCTGCTGATGTTCCAGTTCTTAATAAATTATGTCGCACACAACTAGGATAATTTGATCTGAATTGTTCGTAAAAAACATATTGGTTTAAACCTTAATACAGACGAAACAGTAATCACATGGGGCTATGCCCATTGCATGATACTGGTAAAGAGAAAGAGGCAACAAAGAAAAAAAGAAAAGAAAAACTAGATAAATAGAAAAACAAAATGGTAAAGTTTTAACAGATTAAAGCAGTATAGCGCAGTATAGATTACAGAGACGAGAAGGAGATGAGGAGGATTTTCTGTGACGACTGCGTGAGTGAGATATAAAGAGGTTTTACATAAAAGAAGTAACATCAATAATGCCCCAAAGTGGTTAGACTCTCTAATAGAATCAACGATAGCCTTATAAATAATTTTACTTTTTTCAAATTCAATAGACAAGCCCCTAAAACCAAAGAGTAGAAAGTGAAGAGAAAGAATGATTTTTGTGCCAAAAATGGAATTAATAGTACTCACTCTTAGCTGGTCAGATACTATGAAATAAATTTTCAAACCATCGTCTGAGAACACAAGTGTACATGTAGATAAAATCAACATTGTAACGCGTTATACGCCAGAATACAAAGGTGAAACTTAACATGTGCCTAAAATTCTATGACGGCTGGCATTTACAAGACGGAAAAGGATTGAGTATATGAGTGATTCTGGTGATTTTTGAACCGTTTTTAAAGAAAAAAATGACTCAAAATTAAAGTATCCAGAAAAATATTTTAGTAGTATAGATTTATAGAGAGTACTTGAAAGTCTAGAAAAAAGTCTGGTTCCAAACTATCAAATCCTTCTGAGCCCAAATCCTGGTTGTTCACTTTTTGACTCAGAATCGAAAATGCGCTTTTCTCTGCTTTTCAGCTAAGAAAGCATAACTGAGCTTAAGAATGTATTGAAGCATAGATTTTCACATCTGTTCTATCAACTGGCATCCTTAAAAAATAGTTTTGGACAATTTCTAAACTAGGACCTCTAGAAATCCAGGTTTCCTGGAAATCCTTTAAGGAGCTAGTTTTCAGAAAACTGAGCCAGCCATTCGATTCAGGGTGTCAAAATACATATAGTCGTAAAGTTTGAGCCTTTATGTGCTAGCCATTACAATTCTAGAAATATGTTTGGGGGTGAGACATTTTGATGTAATTTTCAAATTTCTTCCGTTAGAAATAAGTTGAAACCTTGATATTTACAGCATAACTTGTACTACCCATTTGACATATACGGTAAAAAACGAGTTCTTAATTCCATGTAGTTCGGTCAGGAGACGGTCAGAACGGGGTGGGATGCTTTCACACAGGCAGTAAGCGACACCTCCTATATTCCGATCAGGATACAGAAAAAATTAATATCCCGATCGGAATATAAAACACAAAATTTCGTCGTAAAAACAATTAAGGGAAAAATTCACATCACCATTTGAAAGAGCTGGAAAAGCTACATCGGATTCTGTCGTGTTTGATCAAAAGTGTATCAAGCGCTCAGCAAGTATTTTTTTCGAATACAAATTTTTAACAAATTTTAGCCGAATTTATATCCTGATCGGGAAATGGGACGTTAATCTTTTTCTGCTCATAATGGGATACATTCTTGACCTAATCGCTTTCCACCTCGACCGTATATCGGTCGTGAAGCCAGCGTTTCTGAACATGCCAAGAGAACATCATCATTCCAGGCGTTGCGACATTTATACTCATATTACCTGGCACGGCAACAACCCTTTCAGACTAATTAGATTTGATGAGAAACACGTTAATGTAGAAGTAAGAAATTACATTAACCAACAAAAATTTCTAACCGTAATTGTTCGTTTTTATGTCACCTGCGTATAAATCAAATAGACATTAACAATAAATAGATATAATGGATGAATTATCATCTTCATCACCTCCAAAACAGACAAATTACATACAAACTTCCTGAAGTTGGATCTTCATTTTCTCCTAAACGCTCCGAAAATTTTTCGAGATATTTTCAGGATAGGAACTACTGAGTAGGATCTATAACTTTGTCCATACAACTATCCTGGACACTTTCCATTTTTCACCCTCAGTTTTCCAGCAAACCCATTAAAACCTTACTTCATAAAAAGAAAATTGAGCTATTATGACCCTATATTCCTGCTCAGCATGAAGAATTCAATGTACTTCAACGTTTTCTGAGGCCTCTTTGTGTTTCCATACTACGGTTTTCTAAGAAGATTTCTGTAAAACTGAGGGTGAAAAATGGAAAATGTCGAGGTTAGTTGTACAGGCAAAGTTGTAGATCGTAATAAGTAGTTCCTGTCCTGAAAAAATATCGAAAGATTTTCGGAGCTTTTAGGAGAAAATGGAGATCAAACTTCAGGATGTTTTCAAGTAAATTGAGTATCACTCGAATGTAAAGTTAGATCGAGACTGAATTCCTTCACCATTAGAATCCACTCGTCAAGAGCTACAATTTGATGTAGAATTATGCAATGTGTTTCGTTCGTTTCCATCGACTTTGGTTTCACTCTCACCCAAAACGTGTCTAGCGAACCACTTTCCACGAGTTTTTTCAAAAAAGGGTAAGCGAGACTTTTAGGTTATTTTGATGCTCTACACGATGGGCAAAGTGAATTT